AGGGGGTGGCTGCCAGGGCGGGAGCTACCCTCTGCCTATGGCAGTAATGGTTAACCAGTTAACTGGTTAGCTGTTCACATCCCTACAGCAAACATACAACCTTGGGATGTCTTTTCAATCAGAAGAATGGCCATACTGGGTCAGACCAATGGTCCATTCAGCCCAGTTTCCAGTCTGCGACTGGCCAATACCAGATACCCCAGAAGGAGGGAACACAATAGGTAATCATCACATGATCCCTCCCCTGTCACTTTCAGAGAACCAGAGTATAGGGATACCATTCCTACCCAGCCTGGCTAAATAGCCATTGACGGACCTAACCTCCATGAACCTATATAGCTCTTTTTTGAAAATCCTGGCCTTCACCACATCCTGTTGTACTCCTTGCCAGAGGATGACTGTGCAATGAGTGAAGAAAGATTTCCTTTGGTTTCTTTTAAACCTGCTGCCTATTAATTTCATTTGGTGACCCCCTAGTTCTTATATTGTGGGAATAAGTAAACAACATTTCCTTATTCACTTTTTCCACACCAGTCATGATTTTATAGACCTCGATCACATCCCCCCTTACTCTCCTCTTTTCTAAGCTGAAAAGTCCAAGTCTTTTTAATCTATCATGTGGGACCCATTCCAAACCCCTAATAATTTTTGTTGCCCTTTTATGAACCTCTTCCAATGCCAATATATCTTTGAGATGAGGTGACCACATCTGTATGCAGTATTTAAGATGTGGGCGTAACATGGTTTTATAGAGAGTCGATAAGACATTTTTTGTTTTATTCTTTATCCCTTTGTAATGGTTCCTAACATTCTATTTGATTTTTTGACTGCCACTGCATACTGAGTAGATGTTTTCAGAGAACAATCCACAGTGATGCCAAGATCTCTCTCGAGTAGTTGTAGCTAAATTAGTCCCCATCATATTGTATGTATAGCTGGGATTATTTTTTTCCAGTGTGCATTACTTTACATATATCAACATTAAACTTAATTTGCCATTTTCTTTCCCAATCACTTAGTTTGATGAGATCTTTTTGAAGCTCTTCACAATCTGCTTTGGTCTTAACTATCTTGAGCAGTTTGGTATCATCTGCAATTTTTGCCACTTCACTGTTTACCCCTTTCTCTAGATAATTTTATAAGTAAGTTGAATAGGATGGGTCCCACGACAGACCCTTCTTGGACCCCACTAGTTACCGCTCTCCACTTGGAAAACTTACATTTATTCCTACCCTTTGTTTCCTGTCTTTTAACCAGTTATCAATCCACAAAAGGACCTTCCCTCTTATCCCATGACAACTTACTTTACTTAAAAGCCTTTGGTGATGGACCTCGTCAAAGGCTTTCTGGAAATCTAAGTATACTATATCCCACAGTTGGAAGATCCGAGGATGCAATTCCCATATGTGGTCTGGGATAAAATGTCTGCTAAGGGGGTCTGCTGTTGTATTGTTTACCCCTGAAAGGTATGACGCTATGAGGGTGATGTTTCATATGCACCAACTCCATCATCTTCGTATCTACCAATTCCATATGCTTCTGTGCATACAGTATGGGATCGGGCACCTCCCTTGGAATCTCTGCATGGGGAGGTATGCCCTTGTGGGCACCAAATTTAGCTGCACACCTATGAATTCTAGAGCTCATGTAG